AAAAGTTGTTTTTTTTTTCGCATATAAAAATACATAGAAAACTTTGAGCGCTTTGAGCGGCGTCTAAATATTTTTTGATTTTAAAATAAAAAAATAGGGGTATACTTTTTTCGATATAGAACATTCCTAGGGGATGAGAGCATTACAATTCCGACTTTACTATTTTTGTGCCACCCTAATACAAACTATACTAATTTCAGCTTTTGTCCCAACACTTGCCTGCTTTTACAAATTACTAACCTAACTATTTGCTATTCCTTAAACGACTTATGCCAAATAATCTACTTTAAGCAGTCCCGATAAAATCACTCACTAACTTTTCGTATGCCATAAATTTTTCGTAAATTTTTACAGTTTTTGACATTCGCACTTTGGCTTTATTACCTTCGCATAACCTTTTGCGTTTCGGCACTGAACATCTGCCTTAAAATAAAATCTTGCTTGCCTAGGTGAAAAATTGAACCTTTTCAATTAGCTCATTATCAGCTACTACAAATTACTCGAATCATCTCGACCTCAGCAAAGTGAACAAAAGGTGAAACAAAATTCTTCGCAATCTCATAGAAACGTATGTAGGTATGTTTATAAACGGCGTTACGATGAAAGAGTGATTCCTTTTTTCGGTAGGCATGCTTATATGCTAATTAACAGAATGAGTAGCTCCTCGCACATTCCTTTACCATTCTTCTTGTAAGACCTTAAAACTTTCATTTGTCTGTCCGATCAAATTCCCTTCTAATTAGCTATTTAGTAGCTCGGCCATCGCTTTACATTTTATAATGAAATTCTAGCCAAGTTTCTAAGAAAATTTTTTCCACTTCTAAAAAGCTACATAATTAATGAGATCTACTTCGAGACATACTTTGACATCTGTTTGCGCTTTTCCGCATTTAAATAGCAGTTTTTTTTTTACTTATGTACGTACATAGCATAAGAGCTATGTGCTTTATTTTACATATATGAAATTATCCTTTAGGGCATACGTAGTGGCTGTTGGACAGGCTGAAACGTTTTCTCCACAAAACTTAAATAAAATTTAAGAGGTATGAAAGTGAAAAGTCTACGCCTGGCAAGTTTAACTGCATTATAAAATGTTTGAAAATATTTTTGAATCGATTGGACGAACCAATAGTTCTTGTATGGCACATACGATGCTTTCGTCCGCAAGAAAAAAATTTATGACAAAATATAGAGTAAATTTTTGGAATAACTATAGGGATTGCATCTATAATATTTTATCAGGAGTTGCGTTGTGGGGTTTAGAACAAATTTGCATCAAAAAGTAAATTTCTAAAAAATGGCATTATATCAAGAGTTTAAAAATTAATCGAAAATTAAATTAAAAAAAAGTAATAAAGACAATATTTTCATTGTAAAGAATAAAATCTAAAAATTCAAAAATGAAAAGAAAATTAAATTAAAAAAGAAAAAAATTTAATTAACAGAAACAAAAAAATAAAATAAGTTTCTAAAAAATTTTATATAAAAAAAAAATAAATAATAATACAATCAAAAAATTGAATAAAATAAAAATAAAAAATAAAAATTTTACAAAAAAAAACGTTTCTAAAATTTAATGAAATTAAAAAATAAATAGTTTTATTTTCAAACAATAAAATCTAAAAACTAAAAGAAAATTTAATTAAAACAAGTAAAAAGTGTAAGTTCGGGCAAAAACGAACTTTACACGCACATTACCCAAAAATTTATAATAACCTAATTTTCTGCTAAGTGTTTATTCCAATAACTAATCGATTTTAAGTGAACTAGCTTCAGTAGTTACTGATCTATCGCAGTTGACGTGTTTTTGCAAGTTACCGTTATATGGTAGGTAGGCGTGGTTATTGCCGGATTTCAAAGATTTTTAACGGATACCATAGCTAGACCCCAAGCAAGGATCTTACCGAGTTTGGTAGGGATTGGTGAAGCGGCTACTGAGATACAGTATTGCATAATAAGTGGGCGAGGCCACGCCCACCACCAAATTTTCACAAAATTACTACTTCACATACTAATTTTCAACAATTTCGATCCAATATTTACTGAAATATCGAAGTTCTTGCATTTTTCGAAAATACCGTTATATGGGAAGTGGGCGTGGTTACAGCCCAAGTTATAATACCCTTGTGCACAAGTGCACTCGGGTATAAAAAGAAAAAAAATCCGCTGACCTAGGATTCGAACCTAGGATCTATGCTCGAGCAGCGCGGGCAGAATGATAAACATTTGGAAAATGAGCTTTTCTGTCAAAAGAGCTTTTCACCATGAAAGTTGGCAAAGGCGCCTTTTGGTAAGACTTTCGTACCAGAATAAAAAAAAATTTTTTCTAAACTAACTTGTCTACTGTCTTTTGATTATCTTACAAAAGACGTGCAACTATCTTAGTGTGCTTTGTTGCACTCGGCCAAAATCGCTTAGGCTGCTTAAGCGCCAAATAATAATAAGAAGAAGAAGAAGAAGAAGAAAAAGAAAAAGAAAAAGAAAAAGAAGAAGAAGAAGAAGAAGAAGAAGAAGAAGAAGAAGAAGAAGAAGAAGAAGAAGAAGAAGAAGAAGAAGAAGAAGAACCCCTTATACCATGTCCGGACCGACACCGAAAACATGATCTTCTTTCTAAAACTTGTGTTTTCGTCCATGTAAAATCTGTCAAACGAAAACCAGTTATCACTGTAACTAAAAGTAAAAAAGTAAACTACTTGAAAACTCACGTTCCCCTCATTCCAATCGATGTCTGCGCTAGTCTTTTTCGATACATTTATCGAAGTGGAAGTCATATTTTATCATCTTTAATATGCCAGTACAGATTTATTGTTAATTAGCTATGCAAATTAAAATAAGAATAAAAGAAAAAGGTTGTTCATGAAAAGAAAATGAAAAATGAAGATTTCGTTTTTTTTTAGCAAAATTGTAAACAAGGGATTTATATAACAGGTACCATGAGAGTAAGCAGTTGCGCTGTATTCCTCTCATTGCGAATAGCACTCTGTTTCAGGTAACCAAGGCTAAGCTGCAATATGAATAAAGTGTAAAGTTATTTTGTAGTAAGTGAACCAGACGTTGACTTGATTTCGATAGGTGAGTTGGGAGAGACTAATATGTTCTCTCACATATGGCTGGGAAGAGAGTGAGAAGGAGACAACTATATCTGTGCCTCCGGCATTGTGTTACTTATATCTATCACATTCCGTTGTCGCCAGTCGTTTCGCTACAAATATTCGACCCAGTAGGAAATGTTTTTTGTTTATCCGTCTGATTAACTAGCTTTCTCTGTTGTCTTTTGGTGGTTTGAGTGTGTTTGTGCTATTTAATTGTAATTTTTTTTCAATGGTATTTTTCAGGTATTATCAGGTTCTTATGAGAAAACTCAAGTGCTTGTAATATATGTTTATGTATGTATGTAGCGGTAATATGTCATATAAGAATCCACCCCAGTCGAAGAGCTTATACCTGGTTCAACTAGCATGCACACCCGTATGACATTACACTCCCGCCAGAAGATCTTAGCGAACCTGCTTGCAGGTACAATACATGACACCATACAAATTGAAAGTCTTGAAATTTGACACATACCTACATATGTTATCAGCAGGGCCAAAAAAATAAGCTAGAAAAAATCAATTTTAAGCGCTTAGAAAAGCATTGAAACATAGATTAATATCCTTAACTTAAGTACAGTTTAATATTTAGCTTGTTTTTTCAGTAATAAATTGTACAGTGCAGCAAATTCTTTTCTCACCAAAAATAAAAAAAAATAACATCAACAGCCTGTTTTACAGTCAAAGGTGGTTTCCACCTCAAACGAAATTCACATCTTCTACATATGTAAGTATGTCAAAAAGGATGCTGGCGATGAATGTAATTATCAACACGCGGGGAAAAAAAAAATATGATGTGCATTGACGCCTGTTAGTAATTTCCTTTCATCGTACGCTCGAAACTAACCCTGCAGGGAAATATTGCGTTGTCCTATTTGTAACAATTGGCCGAGAAACTACTTGCAGTCGAAGCTAAGTTATAGTATATTCAGTCGCTAGCGAACTCAGTTGAACTGTCAATCCCATTCCAGCAGGTATGCTGGTTTTGAATACGTATATACATACATATATAGCAATTTCCTTACAATCAGTAAATTCTTGTTGCCAGTGCAATGAATTGCAAGCTAACATGGTACACCGGTGCGTATACGTAACAAACTCATTAAGCAGCCCCACGGGGCGAATGTGTTTGACAATATTCCTTTGCAGGTTGAGATGTATGTATCTTCGTATGTGTTTATTAGTATATGTATGTATACCAGTGCGTAAGAGCGCTTAAAGGAAGTGTGCTGCTATAATGGCCTTCCCGTTTGCGGATGCTGTAATTTACAAAATTACTTTATCGCCAATTAGGACACGTTAATGTAGCAGAAAGTGCATTCTGTGAGTATTTTTATGGTTTTTTTTTTTGCGCTGTCTACTTGCACATTCAGCGAAACAGAAGCTTGTGTGTGTGTGTGACAAAATTTGTGCATGACATTGCTTATGTGTCATGGATTTACACTTGCGGTAAATGTGTGCGTAAGAAAAGGATGCAACACGTACTATGACATACGTAAGTACATATGTATGAATATTTGGTATTAATTTCTGCGCAAGTAATTAGAAGTTTTATGGGCAATGTTGAAAATGCAATTCTTAATCAATAATAATTTTCTGTAATAATTGCGAAAATACTTGATTTTGGTGCTTTGTAAGTGAGAAAATTTGAGAAAGTTGTGATCGAGTAACGCTAGTTGGCTGTATTCAGCTTTGCCATTGAAACTTATGAACGGTTTTATCTTCTAGCCTTGAATATTATTTCGAAGTGAAGCGATACTATCAACAACAACATTTAGTTTGGTCGTAACGACTGATAATCGCAAAATTATTTAAAATTAATTTCTAAAATTAGACACAAAAACTTGAAACTAAGATTTTACTTTTACCAAATATTTTTTTTTTCTTTTTTTATCTTTGTATAGGATTCAGCTTGCCAAGTTCTGATGACGAAGTGACTTTTTGAATAGGATATCTGAGGAGGATATTTTAGACACATTTCCTTACTTCATAAAAACTGGGTAAGTCAATTGTTAAAAAATTTAAACTGCCTAAACAATATGGGCCACAGATTTACCTATAAAATATATAAAAACAACTACATATAAAAGCTCGTTTTAATGATTAAAATCCAATTTCTATGAAATCATCACTCTAATAGTTAATTTCCACCAAGTCTTAACTTCAGTTTATGCCTATTGGAAAAATGAGATTAAAACTCGAAGAGGGTAATTGCTCGTATTAAGTAAAATCAAACGAAAGGAAAAATAGCAAAAGTTAAGAAATAAACTTTGCCCATGTAAAAGTTCTTAGAATCTTAACTTTTTTTAACAGTTAAGCTTTTGGTGGGAATAGGCTATAACTCTGCTATGGTAAAGTTAAAATGCGTTTATCTTCCAAAAGATGTTTCTTAAATAAAACTGGTAGAATGTGCTTTTAAAAATTTAAAAAATCTTTAAATATTTCTTGGCGCTTGGCTTCTTAACGTGGAGTAAATAGTCGGATTCTGTATATTGTAACTGAATCCTGATTCTATGTAGGTGTCTATTGAAAAATTTTGAAATTAATATTACTTTTAATAAAAGAGTGGTTTATAAAACGACTAAAACTACGGGCCCATATTTTAAATAAAATAAATGTCTCAGCCCACCCAAAATGAATATACTTATGTACGTATGTATGCATAATCGGCCAATTTTACCCGCGAGAAAACTTGCTGTGTCCCCCAAGGGAATCACACAACTTTGGCGGCCATATAAATCGATTAGCACTACCAGCTGGAAGAACCGTGTTTCTATCCCTGGTGCGAGAAAAATTTAAAAACGTTTTAACGGCATAAAATTAAAGTCATCGCTTTTTGCGTGACAACATCAAGACAGAATGCAAATTGGAGGCGAAGTTCGGGAAAATACATAGAAAATTATATTTTTCGACTTCTTAAATATTTTCACTCATTTCAGTGTTATTTGGTGCCAGAAAACTACATCCATAAGGAAGATAGACAAAAAATTATAAACAATAACATTAGAAAATATTTCCTGACATCCTTACAGAAAAATAAAATGAACTGCAAAAAGTAATTTTCTTTGGCTTATTTTTCTAACAATTTATGTTTTAGAGAAAAAAAACGATACAAAACTTCTTAAATCACCAAGATTCTAAATTAAAATTGTAATAAAAATACTTATTGTCTCCAAGCCACCTTCTGTGTACTCACAGATGATTTCTTTGAGATATCTCAAAATCAATATCTTCCGCATTTGAAGAAAATTATTATCATTTATTTTATGGTTGATAGCAAAATGCGTTACATCTAAATTTTTATCTTTAGCTTTAATTCCCATACACAGAAAATTATATCGCTGGCTTAGAGTGAAAAGTTACCAAGTCGACTTTTTCTGAAAATTATATTTTGAGGCAAGAAGCAAGAACTATTAAAAATGCATTTTTTCCAAATAAATACAATAAATATAAAATTTGAAAAAAAAACTGGATCTTAGCAATTTCTCGCTCTAAGTTAGCGATATAGCGTCGGTAAAAATTGATTTCTTTTGTTCTTAATTTTTGGCCGTGTTGCTGTCTAAGCGAATTTTTTCGAGTTCAACCGATCCCGACAGTCATATCTCTTTTGTGCCAACTGACGCCAATTGGAAATACAAAGTGGTAGGAGCCCGTTCTAGTTCTTAGGCACCCAATTTCAATCTATTTTTAAGCCTTACAAATCATAACGCAGTATCGTATTATCATCGTCTCAATAATGGCACAGCTTTCTGTTTAGGTCCTAAAGTTTTGAACACGTGCCTATTTTACCAAGGTTTTTTAAAATAGTACTACTCCCATGTATTTGGCTCTTGACCCTGAGTTTGAACCTAGAATTTTTTCAGTGTTAAATGAATGGCTTTTCGCTTTTTTGAGATCTCTTTATTTAGAAACTAAAGCCAAAAAAAGTCAATCTCAAAAACTTAGACAATTGTATTTCTATTTGAATAAAATAAAAATTAGTAAATATGTAGAGAACAGAGGAAACTGTTTTTATATTTTAACTAACTACTTTTCAATGGCTTCTCAACTAGAAATGCTACCATTAGGGACTAACATATACCTACATATTAGTATTGCAAAAAAAAAAGTACATTAATGTAAAACATATTTTACCCTTAAAAGCTCTATAAATGCACAGATACTCAATTTCCAGTGTGCTATGTTATAAATTTTCCAAGAATTGTTATTTTTATCACATATAGGATACGTGTTGCAACTGAAAAAAAGCGTTTTTGCGTTCATCTACATTGTGAATAGATGTACATATGTTGGAAAGTATGCACCTGCACCAAATAATCTGTTTTTTATGCAAGTTCTTTGATAAACATTTGCATTTCTTGTGCAACATCCGAAGAGTATACCAAACTATGTGAGTGCGACCAAGTACGCAAAGGTACTTTCATTGTTAAATTTATTACATAAATACATAGTATGTATAATACCTACATACGTACTTATGTATGTAACATTTTTTATGCATTTATTGTAGTGCTTATCATAACTTTACGACACTCACATTTGACAACATTTGACCATTTAATTTATTATTTTTCAATTTCAATTATATGCTCATAAAAATAATGTGTAATCTTTAACAAAAAACGTATAAGTCCATGCTTCAACCTTCGTGCAACATTTAAGATAAATCAACAAACTTTCGTAAAAATTTCGAGTTTTTAATTCGAGTTTTTAGAAATGTTTTGGGTATGCAGTTTTGTAGCGCATTCAATTTTAGTATAATAAAATGCAAGTTAAAAGTAGCTCTGACTTGCCGTTGATTTTTTTAATTAATTTCTGTTGAAGGTGTTGCTCATTTTCTTCATATAGAAAAAATCTTCGAACACGGATTCATTGTCGACAAATTTTGTCTTACGCGGAGTATAATGCAACTTAGTGAAAACGTCCGTAATGTAATGTTAACATATTTTTGTGATATTCTTAGATATCTATATTAATTATAAAAAAAACTTACTACTATTTGCCGAAACTCAATTTCCACAAAACCATGCCAACAAAGTAAAATGAAGAATAACTCTGGCACACTGCAAAAGTATCTTGTGTTTTTAATTGCTACCAGATTTTTCGTTTTTACACAGTTCTTGCAAAAAATTTTTCAACAGGTAGAGTTATTCAGACAGGTTTTGAAAATGACTCAAATTCACTTTGAATCCAAGTTTTGGTGTTCCGTTTTCCCTTTTTTTTTCATTTCAAATGCATGAGAATTCATTTTTTTTTTCGTTTTCAACAGCACTTTCACTCTGTAAATAAATCAGTAAAAATCTTGGCATTCCGGAGCTGTAATCTCGGGATTTCGGCACATGAAGAAGTGTGCGACATTCCGGGATTGAATGTCTTAGTACATACTTACTACCAGGTACGGCTGATAAGAGTACCTACATGTGTATATACTATATTCGTATTCATATCTACATACATATACCGGTTGCCATCGCTGCCCATATCCATATCCTTACCCATATAAATATCTTTTTCTATTACCATGTCCATATCCATATCCATATCCATATCCATTTAAAGATTAGTTAGTTACACTTTCAGAAATTTAGTCGATTTATTAAAAAGCAGAATTACTTGCTCAGACACTCAAGTAAGCATTCGCAAAATTATTTCAACTTGATTATTTTTAGCTTGCTCCATTACCTGTTTTTTCTTCATCGCTTTTAAACTGGCTTCCATATGAATAAATGGCTATTTAATAAATTGCCAAACATGGGGTTCAATATTTCATAAAGCTTTTCTGTGAAAAAGCGTTGCATGCACACAAAAAAAAAAAAGTCGGGAATGGATAAAGTGGAAAGAAGGAGAAGCTCACAACATCTGAAATAAACAAACCGCATGGCGTAATTGCGAAAAAAGCATAAAGAAAAGCATGCTCGAATCACTCGTACAAAACTACATAGTATATATGTACATTAGGGTGGTTCAAAATCCACGTGAAAAAGTAATGTCGGAAATTTAATGCCGCCACCACCTAGACTTGCTCTATACCGATAAAAATATACCGCTATTTTTAACAAAAAGGAGAAGGTTATCAATTCTTCGGAATATTTTTTCATTTTTATTTTATTTAATTTTTTTTAATATTTTTTTTTATGTATGTTACCACATACGTAGAAATGGCGTAGAATTCTTGAAAATCAATATTTTTCGATCGGAAAACTCTGTTTCTCTTCAGGAGATTCCCAGTAATAATACCCAATTGTTTCTTTAACCATTTTTTCATGGTAACTACATTTTATAGGCCCCGCCAAACCCCAGTAAATGCAGTGGAGGGACCAATAAAAACACTTTAGTATTACCAAATTGTGCAATAAAAAATTGGATGTTAGTATTGGAAGTCTTCTGAAGAGAGTTGATTGCGGGTATATTGATTGGGTATATTTTTTTGGGTATAGAACCGACTACCGACTTTACTGTTTTTGGACCACTCTAATGTTAATACTTATACACACATATTTGTACATAAGCATACGTAAGTACTGTCAAGCATAAAAACTATAACTAGACTACACTTTTTTGAAAGATGCCATTTAAATTTTCGTTGAAATAATCAAAAATGCTGGATACGCATTCTTGATACACTATGAGCAGGTTTTAGGTATGTAGTGGTGTGGCATATTTCATACATGTAAGCACACATTTATTTTTTATGATTTGATTTGGGCAGTAAAAACAAAAAAGTATCAAAACTGTAGCTACGACTTTTATACTTGCCACCACAGATAGTAGACAAAAAAACCAATCTGCAAATGTACACAGCTGTTCCCCACTCTGTTGATGTGGTTAGCTGCACAGTATGCAACCGGTAGCCGTGGTAACATACTGTTGCATAAAATAAAATGTGTACATATGAAATATGTATGTAAAAGTGCATACGAGTATGAAGTCGACCATGTGGCAAGTAAATATTTGCAAGGGTACAACGCAATAACACTCGATATGTCGGTGTTTTTATTTA